CTCGTCATTTGGTTTTGTTATACTTGTTAATGGGTACAATTTGATCGAAGAAACAAGAAGAGAAGGTTTGGGATTAGCTAGTAAAACGTTGAGTTTTGGTAAAAGGAGTGGTTTCATTTAAGTCACTTAATTTGGACCAAAAGTTATCTTTCGTACAGGTTAAAGGAAGGTAAATATAGTGGGCTTACTTTTGGCTTTCGGTTGACTTAAGAATTGGGCTTAAGCCTTAATTCTTTTCAGAACCACTGCTTCACAAACCAGGAAGTTATCTTCCCCTTCGTCGATCAACTTTTCCCCTTACAAACATCTCTCACCTGTTCTTAGCTATAGCTAGCTTCGAGTAAGGTTTTGCAGGTGGCTTAATTGACTAACTATTCATTGGAATTGAGCCAAAGTAAAGAAAGGCGTCTCGCGCTCGACACACCAACAAACCTATCTTGAATTAAACAACGAGGTTAAGCGCGATTAAGCCGTCCAACCATTGGATTGAGTGAGAGAGTAAGTCAATCATCGATTTCCTTAACCAAGAGGGCTACTTGAGTAGTCTAAAATGTATCCCTTGGTTTGGCAATCGAGAGTATGGTCTACGACCATTGTTGCATTTCCTAGCAGTTCACGGTCACCTCGCCCATAACGGTTCATTCGATTACACGTGCCTAGGTACTAGTTACGGGTAAGGGACACCCTAGTGATCCCTCTCATATAGAGCTTTCAAAACCATTTACTTTTGCTTTGCTTTACTTTAATTCTCGTACCTTTCAACCAAAACCAATCTGCTAGATAATGTTTCAAACAATTGAAGTAGGGGTACATGGACTGGCCCAGGTTGATATTTAAACATATTTTCCCTATATTGCACCCTACTAAGGTTTATGCTTGGGTCTTAGGTGGGAATTAATCGTGATATTTGGGACCAGTCAGTGACTTTTAACATTGTGTACCACAGGATACCACCCCGTACCAGGGTGGTATTGTGTGATATTTTTTTTAGTCCTCTATTTTGTTCACCCAGAAATTTTTGGATCGAATAGATCATGATGAACTCGTTTCTTCTGTGCAAAATTTTTAAAAAACGACTCAAAAACAAATAAGATATCATATGGTATGTAGTTGGTAACCAGAGGCAATAAATTATGTTTTCTCAAAAAATGTTGAAAATTGATCTCATTTTGTAGAGCACAACGAACTCGTTTCATCTGTGCTAAAAAATTTGAAATCCAAGTTAAAATGAAAAAGATATGAGCCGATTAAGAAAACACAGAAAAATATTAAAAAAAACTCTTTAGTTCTCCATCTTTAAATGTGAATTTTATGATTCAAGAGTTCAAATTTAGTTACTGATGAGTGCATAACCTAGGATATCCCTACTGGATAAAACCACAAAACCGCTAATTTGGGCAATCATTTTTCTTCTCCAACAAGGAAACAAAGAGCAATCCCTTTCCAAGCCCAACAAAACTATTGGCGGCCAACAAAACTATTTGCTTGAATAGCTCGGTCATATTTCCACAAGTCACCACTCAGGAAGTTGTTTTGGTTAACCAACGTTAAAGTTAGGGATGAGTTAGCTTGGTTACTTAATTTTTAGTAATCACGGTGGCTACCTTAATCTACACCATTCATTATTTTTTATTCATTCTAATTTTAAATTAACGATGAAGATTATATTAGGGTAATTTTGGAATTGAAAAATATACCACACCTGATTACTCTATAAATTATATCCAAACCCTACCCTATTGCAACCCGCCGCCAACCACCAAGCTCCCTCCCCGTAACCTCCCGCGACCCTCATCCCTCCCGAGAACCTCCTCCACCGCCGGCCGGCCTCCCCTCCACCGCCCTCCTCCCTTCCCCTCCTCTCTCACATCTCCCATCCCTAGCATACCCCTCTCTCTCCTTTTCCATGTTTAACATATAGAATCCCTCCATTATCGCTTTCGAATTCGATCCATTTCCGCCCCTTCTTAGAACCCTAGAAGTTTGCATCACGCCCGACGCCCGAACCCCTGCTTGTTTGCTTCTTCTTCTCTGGGGGGGTTTAGGGCTGGTTGCTTCTGTGCTTGTTTGGAACTCTTGTGGTTGTTTCAATTCCTTGACGCCATGAAACGTGGGTACACGGGTTCTCCGTCCAACTCTGGCGGTCCTCCTAAATCTAGATTGAAGCACTCCGCTGAAGGTAAGGATCGTTTCTGTTTTTAAGCTATTTCATTGCTGAACATGGTTTCTGTTCCCAATCGGGGATTGGGCACGTTTCAGGTACTGAATTTTCTTTGCTTCCCTAAACAAGTTACTAACTTTTCTCATTTCTTCTCTGTTTCTGATGGACTATATTTGCTTTGTTAATGGCAATTGGAAGGAGGAAGGAGGAATTCCATTGGAATGGTATGTTTTTTTTTAAATGGTAGTCATTTTTTTCCGTAGTGATTTTTTTTTAAAATGGTAGTCATTATTTTCGTAGTGGTAGTGTTATTGTCGCATTAGTATTGTTTTTGTCGCATTGGTATTGATTTTGTCGCATTGGTATTGATTTTGTTACATTGGTATTGATTTTGTCGCATTGGTAGTGATTAAATTTGCAATGGTATTGTTGTTTTGTGAAATGGTAGTGTTTTTATTTCTTGAATGGTATTGATGTTTTGGACAATGGTAGTATTTTTTTAATGGATTGGTATTGATTTATTATTTTTTTTGTTGCAGTGGTATTAGTTTTGATGAACGAAATCAAGGAAAGATTGAGAAAAAGAAGGAAGAGAGATCTGGCTGAAAAAATTGTGGAAGTGAGAGAAAGAGAGAGAGAAAATTTGTATTTAATATATTTATGTAATTTCCTAAAATGTAATTTATTAAAAAAGATCATTAATAAATTTTTTGTTATACCCAAATTTAACCTTAGTAACCACGGTGATTACTATTTTATAGTAATCACCGTAACCTGTCCCAGTTACTGATACACAATCTCAAGGTTGTTGAGTCCACAACGGGACGCTGTCAAGTTCTCAACACCGCCGAACTCACAGCATCAAACCTGTTTTGGACAAAAATAACGACATGGTGGCGCTGGATTGAACTTTAAACAAGATTAGCCCGCTTGACATGTCTAACGATTTCATTTGCCAGCGTTGTTGATAGTTTATAGCATTAATTATTTTTAGCTAAACAACCTGGGAAATCTAGCTCAAACTAGTTGAATTCACGTTGTACTCTTAACCTTGTTGTCCTTTGGTAAGCAATTACCAACGGACAAACTGGACAAGACTCAATTGCCATTGAACCGCGACATGGTTAGTCTTGCGACCTTGTTTTTCAATAAATCTATTAATTAAATGTCTAGCATTTGATTTTAGTTAAAATAATTTTGGGTGTCGGAACATAAAATATTTTAGAGTTTTAATTTCTAACTGAACAAAAACTTCAATTACTAAAATCAACATCCAAACACAAAAAGATAATCTAGTTTGAACAATCTACATGTTCGAGCCGCCTCCTGGAACCGGGTCTCCACCACCACCGCTCTATTCAGGAGCTGGGTCGCCACCACCACGGCTCCATTCAGGAACTGGGTTGCCTCGGTTCACGCTAGAATCGGCTGGTCTTACTACATAGCCACTGCTACTGGCGGCGGATTGGGCGATCTGGAACACTAAAACTGGAGCGGACTACTGGCTAGTCATCGGAGCTGCCGCAGCTATAATGCTGCACTGATTTGTTGCTTCCATCATTTTTTTCGGGATCCAGATAGGGCTTGGAATGGGGCGTTGTGGGAATTTGCCCCCGGGAATGTTCTTGGTCGAGCTGATAATGTGGGTCTACGGCTACGCCGTCAACTTGTTCTCTGGCCGCACAGGGGTGGGATCCTACTATATGCTCCTCTATTGTGTGTACTGTGTCTCGATCGATTGCCCAAGCTTGCAACTTTCTTTCCAGTGGTGTTCGGAGCTTCGTCGATGTGGCTCGGGTAAGTTCCATGTTTGTCTAATTAGTTTCCATGTCCAGCTGCTAAATAAATTCCTTTCTTGTTTTTTCATAGCACCACCAGCGGCATGGTGTGGATGCTGGGGTCGACTACCATACTCAGAGATCAAATCGTAATCACGGGGGCTGTCATCTTAGGCATGGGTTTACGAGTTGTCATGGGCACGCTGAAGAAAGCAAGAGACAGACAGGCTCTGGCTCGCGAGAGAGGTGAAGCGGAGCAGCGAGAGGCAGCGGCGGAGCGGTAGGTCCTCTTGCGTGAGATCGAGGATTTGAGGACTGAGAACCAGGGTTTGAGGGCTGAGTTAAGCAATCGACTTCAAGGTGTTGGCCAGTCCTGATTTTATTTCCACCAGGTAATGCTTTTTTTCAAACTCCTGATTCTTGGAGAGTCATGAATGTTTATATGGATATCTAATATTTTGCTAGATTAAACTCTGATGGATCCCCACCACCATTCCTAATTTAATTTTCGGGCAACCATGTTTTGTCATTCTCTTTGATTCACATTGGTAAATTCCATTCGGAAGGCCAGCAATGCACGAATACCAAATCCTTCCAAACAACCAAGACATGCCCGTATGTTGGTTATGTATATATATTTGTTGTTAAAAAAGCATGCACATAAAGACTATGCGAATAATTAGATATCCATATAGATACATAAATATTGATGGCTGCAACACAGAATACAGACTGGCCATGAAGCCTGAGACACTATATTCGTTACGAACTGATTATTGAGTTTATGGTTAACAGCAAATATATATATACATAACCAACAGACGGGCATGTCTTGATTGTTTGGAAGGATTTGGTATTCGTGCATTGCTTGCCTTCCAAATGGAATTTACCAATGTGAATCAAAGAGAATGACAAAACATGGTTGCCCGAAAATTAAATTAGGAATGGTGGTGGGGATCCATCAGAGTTTAATCTAGCAAAATATTAGATATCCATATAAACATTCATGACTCTCCAAGAATCGGGAGTTTGAAAAAAAGCATTACCCGGTAGAAATCAAATCAGAACTGGCCAGCACCCTGAAGTGTATTGCTTAACTCAGCCCTCAAACCCTGGTTCTCAGTCCTCAAATCCTCGATCTCACGCAAGAGGACATGCCGCTCCGCCGCAGCCGCTGCCTCTTGCTGCTCCACTTCACCTCTCTCGCGAGCCAAAGCCTGTCTGTCTCTTGCTTTCTGCAGCGTGCTCATGACAACTCGGAAACCCAAGCCTAAGATGACAGCCCCCGTGATAACGATCTGATCTCTGAGTATGGTCGTCAACCCCGGCATCCACACCATGTCGCTGGTGGTGCTATGAAAAAACAAGAAAGGAATTTATTTAGCAGCTGGACATGGAAACTAATTAGACAAACATGGAACTTACGCGAGCCACATCGACGAAGCTCCGAACACCACTGGAAAGAAAGTTGCAAACTTGGGCAATCGATCGAGACACAGCACACACAATAGAGGAGCATATAGTAGGATCCCCCCCCCCCCCCCCCCCCCGGCGACCGGAGAACAAGTTGACGGCGTAGACCCACATTATCAGCTCGACCAAGAACATTCCCGGGGGCAAATTCCCACAACGCCCCATTCCAAGCCCTATCTTGATCCCGGTAAAAAATGATGGAGGCAACAAACCAGTGCAGCATTATATCTGCGGCAGCTCCGATGACGAGCCAGTAGTCCGCTCCAGTTTTAGTGTTCCAGATCGCCCAATATGCGATGCAGCCGCCAGCAGCAATATGTATGTAGTAAGACCAGCCGAGTCTGGCGTGAACAGAGGCGACCAGTTCCTGAATGGAGCGGTGGTGGTGGCGACCCAGCTCCTGAATAGAGCGGTGGTGGTGGAGACCCGGATCCAGGAGGCGGCGGTGGCGGACACCCTGTTCCAGGCGGCGGCGGCGGCAGAGATAGGGAGGAGAGGACGGCGCTCTTCTTGGTGTGGATCTCGGATCTTGAGGGACAGGTCAGGGCTAGCCATGTTTGGGATTTCTGGTTGTTGTGGTGTTTGGGGCTTTGGGCTATGGGCGATGGGCACTCCTTTCAGAGGCTATATATGGGAAAATGAGGAAGCCTCTCAAAGAGGAATGATGGTGATGAGAGACGATGGAGACCAAGGGTTTGCATACCCTAAACTGCAAAGAATGTAACAATCCACCCTAAACAAACTATCACAGCAAATGGATTGGATGGTGATCCAACGGGACGACGGGAGTCTACCCTCTGCCACTGCCTGCCACTACCTACGCTGGCACATATATATGTCAGTAGCAATTTCATTATTGTTTTATGCAGTCTGTACCATATTACAGAGAGAGAGAGAGAGAGAGAGAGAGAGAGAGAGAGAGAGAGAGAGCTAGCTAGCTGGCTGTTGCAGCATGGTCCAGGAAACCGGATCGTACCGGTCGGTTCAACCGGTTCAACCGGGAACCGGGCCAATAACGGAACGGTAGGCATTTGCTGCCAGAAATACCATGCCGGCCGGTTTTGGCGGTGCAACCGGCACGAAGCGGAATGCCGCCCGGTTTTGTTCCAACCGGCGGTGGCCTATCCCAATCCTGATTTTGCAAAATTTTATTTGGCATCAAATAATCAGAACTCATTGTTAGATGGATCTGATCTGCGGTGAGCTGTGGTGAATCAACGAACGGGGATGGATCAAATCATCAGAACTCATTGCATGTAAAACCAGGTGGATGGATCTGCGGTGAGCTTGGCACAACTCTCCAGCCCATAAAATGAATCAACGAACGGGGTAGAGTCTTGTGGAGCAGCTCTAGACCTAGAAGATGAGGCGACGGCGTTCTCTTCTCGGCATCTGTCAATCCAAACTTCAAGACTTGATTGTTAGCGGCGTCATACCTCTTGAGAGAGGCCTAGGGCGCCGATCCATTTGAGTATGAGACGTTGCCGGTGGGAGCGATGGTGATGGCATCCCAGAAGTGCACATGCATTATGCTAGATTTAGATCTTCAAAAGAACAAACGGAAATTTATCTTCCTTTCTGGGCACAGTGACGAGTGAGGGGAGAGAGAATTGGAGAGGGGAGAGAAAGTTCTAGATATGTGGTGTGGATGGTAAATGGCGGAGTGATAAGGGGAAGGTAAAGTGAAAAATGGAAAAAGAAAGATGTAAATAAGTAAAATAATAATAATTAATTTGCTAAATTATTTGCACTAATCAACGGCTGATTTTTTTAAAATGATATATTCTTTATACTATCGCATTTCATTTCTCTATCAATAGTGAAAAACGGTATTTACCGGTACAAAACGGTTGAACCACAGTCGTACCACAAAATACCATACCAGAAAGGAATCCGGTACGATGTCCGGTACGGTTTCCTTTACCATGTGTTGCAGGTTACTTGTCCTTTCTTCCACGGTGATCGATTGTTGTGAACATGACATGATGACAATGCTTTGTTAATTGTTACCTCTTGTATTTTCTTACTTGGAAGTAGGGCAGCCGTGAGCTGAGTCGCGTTTGGGCTCACCTCGTTACAAAAGGATTCGAATTCAAACTTGAATAAAGTTTTGCTCAACCTCAGTTCTTCGAGCTTGACTAAACTTCGACTCATCATCAATCAGCTCAAGCCCTTGGTTCGGGTTCAACTCAATTATAGATCTAAATGGTTAAACGTTTACTAAATCTCTATCTCACCCTCAACTCGACTCGAATTCAATGAAAGCTACCCAATTCGCGGCCCGTACAAGCGAAACAAGATCCACAGCTCAAACTTGGTTAATTAATAAACAAGCTATTTAATAATCAAACTGTTATGAAAATATTATTATCATTATGGATGACCAACATTAGATGCTCCATGGTATGTTACAAGTTCTATGTAACTCATCTCCTTATATTTATTTCTTCATATGACACATTAGATGCACAATTGGGTGTTACATGTAACCCCCCACCCCATTTCTATTTCACATTCATTCTCACATTCATGTATATTGATTGTAAGAATGTAGGGGTTATGTGATGTATGCCTATAAATATATGATCTCCTTGTACTAAGGATTGGAAGTAGGGCAGCCGTGAGCTGAGTCGCGTTTGGGCTCACCTCGTTACAAAAGGATTCGAATTCAAACTTGAATAAAGTTTTGCTCAACCTCAGTTCTTCGAGCTTGACTAAACTTCGACTCATCATCAATCAGCTCAAGCCCTTGGTTTGGGTTCAACTCAATTATAGATCTAAATGGTTAAACGTTTACTAAATCTCTATCTCACCCTCAACTCGACTCGAATTCAATGAAAGCTACCCAATTCGCGGCCCGTACAAGCGAAACAAGATCCACAGCTCAAACTTGGTTAATTAATAAACAAGCTATTTAATAATCAAACTGTTATGAAAATATTATTATCATTATGGATGACCAACATTAGATGCTCCATGGTATGTTACAAGTTCTATGTAACTCATCTCCTTATATTTATTTCTTCATATGACACATTAGATGCACAATTGGGTGTTACATGTAACCCCCCACCCCATTTCTATTTCACATTCATTCTCACATTCATGTATATTGATTGTAAGAATGTAGGGGTTATGTGATGTATGCCTATAAATATATGATCTCCTTGTACTAAGGAATACATGAATAAGAAAGCTCTATCCCCCCCACTCTTTTTGTGTCTCTACTCTTACTCTTATGTCTGTTGCTCTTCCTTGCTATTTCACAACACGTTATCAGCACGAAGCTCTACCAGAGTCATGGTTGGTTATTGTCTCTTTACATAATCAAAACTTACTTGAGTAAGATCACAACACGATCAAGGTATGCAACTTTTCATGTTGTTTCTTTTTAGTAAGTTTATCTATCTCATTGTCTTTGAGGGATTATTTGATCATGTTATTTGTTTATATTATTTTATATATGTCGATCTCGTAACATGGAGTTTGTGCTTGGACATTATCAGATAATGAAAATTGCTCCTGTAGTAGCAAAATCATTATGGGTTGACTTATCGATTTCTACATTCGACATATAGAGAAATGAAAGTCTAAGGATCTCATTTTCCCCCGAAGTGGAAAAAATGAAGAAAAAATGTGTCAAATGAAAGAACTGGATCTGGTAACTAAAATATTGGAATATGAGTTACCATTGCGATGGGGAAAATCATTGATCTTGTACCCGATGTATGAAAAGAATTTTTATTGGTCCAAGAATCATTTGAAAGAAAAATGAAAATCTATATGTGCTCCTGCAGTAGCAATATTATCTTAGAGGTTTTACAAAGTGTAAGTTAATTTCTTGTTAGTTAAAGGTGAAAAATGTATTGGACTTGTGATGATGAGAAATATTATATAATTTGATCCAAAGGCTGTTGTTTCATTCCTGGAAGCGAATGAAAACAAACCATTCTTAAAAGTGAATGGATCGAGACACACCATTATATTAATATAATTTGTTGTTTGGATAACGACAATCAACAAATATATCTTTTCACCGGAAGTGAAAGATAAAATAATTATAAATGAGGATGATAATTCATGTAGCAAAAGTCATGATCATATATTGTAACCTTCGTATGTCGAAATGTGTTATGAAACACATATATGTTGTTGTTGTTGTTGTTGTTGTTGTTGTTGTTGTTGTTGTTGTTGTTGTTGTTGTTGTTGTTATTATTATTATTATTATTATTGTTATTATTACTATTTTGTATGTTTTTGTATAGAATGAATATTTGCAAAATTCAATAGTGGTATTATATCATATAGTATGAAAGTAAGGAAAAGCTCCGGAAGAGATTGTGTTTTGTTACTTGAAGTAACTAAACAATATATTGGTGATATTCATAGTATGTAAATATTATTATCACTATGTATATGCGCTTACAATAGTTCACCGAATCAGAAGGTGCCTCATGGCCAACTTGTAGTACAAGAATATGTGAAGGCTCCAGAAGAGCTAATGTTTTGAGACATGAATGAACTAAACTGTCAATTGAAGATGCATTACCGAATTATGAAGATATTCGCAGAAAAGAATATCATAATTGATATTGCATCAGAAATGTGTTATAAGAGAACATATACTTAACTGGAGAAATTTGTACTACATGTATATTAGTACATATGAAAGTGTAAACCAGAAGTTTGCAAGATCGGATAACTTTTTATTTTGGCATGTCCGGTCATACCATCCCGGATACAGATGTGAAAATGATTGAGATATCATATGGAAATTAAGTGAGAGTTCAGAGAATTCATCAATCAAAGGATTGATTATGTGATACATGGTCTCGAGGAGAATATACTCGTGAAAATAATTGAATCTGTTGAGATTTTATAAAAGTGTATGCAGAAAAATACACTCAACGTGCAAATCATATATGAATTTTATGATTTTGATTGATTCATCAACTATATCGTCATATATGTCTGTTATCTAAACGCAACCTGATGTTTGCGAGATTAGTTGTCGAATGATGGATATATTTTGATGATTATCCAATCAAACAGAACTTCTCTTATGAGAACAAACTAAGTCTATCGATCTCTTATCGAGGCTTATGATATCATTAATTCGCATGAAGCCAACAAGTTATCATAAGTTCCCCCTTTTCATACAAATGGTTTTGGTCAGGGACCAAACATTTAAACTGCTAGAAAATTTGGGTGTGCATAATACATCCCAATTGCTCCACCACAACACGTTATGAGTTCCATGAGAACTTATGTTGGACATGGTGTCCAATGCAATGAGAGATTTGTTCATGACTCTTTTTGCTAATATCATCATTTTGATGAGTTACTTCTCGAACGTTAAGGGGGAGAAAAGTAAACAGTTGGGCATAGATGTGAGTTGGAATCATCATTATCGCATTTTGATCCTCAAACAAAGAAACATGAACCCGAAGTTCATATGGTGATTCATGGAGAAAAAAAATGTATTGATTGCCAAACGCCTTTTTACTCACTAAAAGGAGTGATTATGTCACATGCCCAGTTGTGAATGCTCCAATACAATTGATGTCCATATTGGATAATCTAATGAGTCTAAACGAGCGCATGAAGCGTGGTAGACCAATCGGTTCCAAGTATAAAAATCCTCGAGAAAGGAAGGAGCTATAAATTAAGATGGTAAACTCGAGGATAAAATAGCTCTAGAAGAGTCAAGTCATAAAATTGAGA